TGTCATTGCGGCACGTGAACAACTTTCTGTGTTTCCAATGACAATGACTGCGAATTGTCTTTCTCTGCACCAAATGTATAATGAACTGCAATGCTATTCAAAATAAAATATAAATTGATATCATGGGAGTCCCAAAGGATATTAAATAGATAGTATTTATAGAAGGTCAACGTCATGGTAAATAATGATTCGTTATTAGACAAGGAACTTTTCTAAAATTACATACAACACTGTACTTTGGTCGCAGGCCAATCAGCACCATTCGTTGTTACGAAGTGTTACAGACATTTGAAGCGAGGGACCTGGACTTTAGGAGCGACTTCAGGAGAGTGTTCTCATTTGACTTGCCACCGACTCTTTAACCAGTTCCTCGGGTGTATTCGATCCTGATTACTAGCAGACTGAAAGGACTGCAGGTCGCCATATAGTCAAGCAGATGCCGTTATAGGGCAATTGCACTGATGGATGAGCAGCAAACCTCACTGAAACGTCGGCCAACGTTTACCAGAATACACGGCACTTGCATCCTAGACGGCAATAATCTTCATACTCGTCACAATAAGAAAACGATATCATTAGTAGGATTTAAGTTTCTCACGGGGACGGCACTAATTTTGCTGCCTTCTCTCTTGTAGCGCCGGCACTAGAAACCAGAATTTATGCAACTTCCAACCTAATAAATCCCAAACTTTTTTTTTGTAATTGAAATCCGCGTATATATACACGCTTTTAGGATAACTGAAATGCGATTAATAGTAAGTTGTGGCACCATATTATTTCAGTCTGTACATATTAAACTATTTCTTATGCAGTTTCCATTGACAATCATCTGAAGCGAGGTGTTTACCACTATTTATTCTAAATTTTATATTAAAATATGCCACCATGAAAGAAAGTAACCAGGAAGAAGTTGAAAATCTTCGGACACATAAGCTCCTAGTTTAATCTTATAATAAAAGTTGATTAAGCAAATATATAGTTACAGTAAACGGAAGTACAGACGCTGTATTGGACGCTAATTAGGAGGTTGGATGGAAGTAAATGGAGAAAAAATATGTTATGTGGTCATGTGTCATCACCATAATACAGAACAAGTCTGAAATATAACTATAGATAATAAATCCTTCGAGAATGTGGTAGCAAGTCAGTAACAAATCTATCTTCACGTTGTGTTAAGGGCAGACCAAATTCAGAAAATGCTTGTAAAATTCAGCGCAGGAATTTCGTATTCCAGATTTGCTTAAGAGTTATTGAAGATCAAATTTTATCTTATAATTTGTTGGGCGCAAGACATGGGCTGTCACGTTAAGGTAGGAACTCAGATCCAGGATGCGTGAGGACAGAGTGCCGAGGATAACATTTGGACGTAATAGATGAAATGATAGAGTAAAAATATTGCACAATAAGGACCTTCGTATTTTGTATTTTTCGCTAAATGTTATTAGTTCGAGAAAGATTATGTTGATGGGTCATGTAGAACGTAATGAGAGCACGAAAAACACTTGTGGTTTATTCGGAAAATATTAAGGAGTTATAACTTTGAACATCTGAACTCAGATGGAAGGCTTACATTAAAGATGAACCTCAACAAATACGTCTGAAAGTGTGACCTGGCTTAATTTAGCCCAGGAAAAGATTTTCCTCGGGTGTATTCGATCCTGATTACTAGCAGACTGAAAGGACTGCAGGTCGCCATATAGTCAAGCAGATGCCGTTATAGGGCAATTGCACTGATGGATGAGCAGCAAACCTCACTGAAACGTCGGCCAACGTTTACCAGAATACACGGCACTTGCATCCTAGACGGCAATAATCTTCATACTCGTCACAATAAGAAAACGATATCATTAGTAGGATTTAAGTTTCTCACGGGGACGGCACTAATTTTGCTGCCTTCTCTCTTGTAGCGCCGGCACTAGAAACCAGAATTTATGCAACTTCCAACCTAATAAATCCCAAACTTTTTTTTTGTAATTGAAATCCGCGTATATATACACGCTTTTAGGATAACTGAAATGCGATTAATAGTAAGTTGTGGCACCATATTATTTCAGTCTGTACATATTAAACTATTTCTTATGCAGTTTCCATTGACAATCATCTGAAGCGAGGTGTTTACCACTATTTATTCTAAATTTTATATTAAAATATGCCACCATGAAAGAAAGTAACCAGGAAGAAGTTGAAAATCTTCGGACACATAAGCTCCTAGTTTAATCTTATAATAAAAGTTGATTAAGCAAATATATAGTTACAGTAAACGGAAGTACAGACGCTGTATTGGACGCTAATTAGGAGGTTGGATGGAAGTAAATGGAGAAAAAATATGTTATGTGGTCATGTGTCATCACCATAATACAGAACAAGTCTGAAATATAACTATAGATAATAAATCCTTCGAGAATGTGGTAGCAAGTCAGTAACAAATCTATCTTCACGTTGTGTTAAGGGCAGACCAAATTCAGAAAATGCTTGTAAAATTCAGCGCAGGAATTTCGTATTCCAGATTTGCTTAAGAGTTATTGAAGATCAAATTTTATCTTATAATTTGTTGGGCGCAAGACATGGGCTGTCACGTTAAGGTAGGAACTCAGATCCAGGATGCGTGAGGACAGAGTGCCGAGGATAACATTTGGACGTAATAGATGAAATGATAGAGTAAAAATATTGCACAATAAGGACCTTCGTATTTTGTATTTTTCGCTAAATGTTATTAGTTCGAGAAAGATTATGTTGATGGGTCATGTAGAACGTAATGAGAGCACGAAAAACACTTGTGGTTTATTCGGAAAATATTAAGGAGTTATAACTTTGAACATCTGAACTCAGATGGAAGGCTTACATTAAAGATGAACCTCAACAAATACGTCTGAAAGTGTGACCTGGCTTAATTTAGCCCAGGAAAAGATTTTGACAGGTTGTTGTGATCAGGGCTACACTCGATATTCCTCTCTTTTGACAGGTTGTTGTGATCAGGGCTACCCTCGATATTCATCTTGGCTTCTCAAAGAACGGTGACAAATAGAAGTTCATATACAAATGTTCTGCTGAGTATAAGTGTATGACCCTGCCATCAAAGTAGCAAAATCTACATACGACAGTCAAGTGAATTGGAAAAGAGGAGAAAGTATCTAAACACGGAAAAAGTTTCCAATAAAATGCTGCACTTTGATCAGAAATCAGTACTACACGTAATAATAATCAGGGAAGTAGCGGACACTTCTATGATTTACAATAGTTGATTTTGTAGTGCCAAAGATATTTGTATTTGAAACTTATAATACTGTAAGGCTCTACATAAGGTCGATCAGCCCACCTGAAAGTGCAAAACTTGGCAACAAGCAAATATGCAAACATGCAACTCGCAAGAACCAAACCATTATTACATGGTGCGCTCAAATCGTGTGCGACTGACTGTAAATGTGATCTACATATTAATCTCTCAAGCAGATGAATCGGAACTCACAAACACACGTCAACGCTAACAAAACACAGTACATGTTATCACATATGGATATGTATGGCTCCATCGACCAGTGCGCCACTTGAACAATCTCGGCTATTTATGAGGACGATGATTATAATTTATATCTTTGTTTTGCACTAATTAAGTTATTTATAGGGATGTATTGCTACATGACATGCTTGCTGACGTTGAGAGTTTCGAACGACATGAAATAGTCGATATTATTAGTATATTTTGACGTCATTAGTTGTGCTGCATAATTTTCACATATGCTTCAAAAACTACCTTCAATTTTCGTCGCTCTGCTGAGATCCGTCGTTAAAGATCAATGATTTTGGACATCTTAATAAAGATATAAGGTCTTGCAAACAACCTATTATAAGTCAAGACAGCAAGTAATATCTTTTATAAGTCACTACTAAAATGTACAAAACAAAACTATTTTGAATTACTTAGTTTTGAAAATAATACAGTTTGTCTATGGACAGATTCAAACACGGACATTGAACCTAGAGAGACGATGACAAATCAATGAAAAATAAAATAAGTACCTGATTCTCTGGAGCACCTAAATTCACCAATGCAGCAAAATAAATCATTGTTTACGTGAAAGATAAAACTTATGATTGCATTTTCTCTGTAGCAAATAGTTACTGGTCTGGTTCTGCTTTACAGAAAAACAGGCAGACAAACAAATATAAGAAATTCAGTTTCGAATAACAAAATCTGCGTGTTTCGGTATCCTCTTAATGCTGTTCCTGGTGTAAATTCCATATGAGGAATTTGAATCCTATAGAGTTAAATATTACAGTACAAAACAAGGAAACAGTTCGAATAAGTTGGACTATTTGTGGGAAAACAGCTTGGATATAATTTTATTTTAAATGTAAGGGCCCAAATCTTTAAACGAAACACCGAATCAACTCGAGTATCCTATCGTATCGACTGCAGAGAAATGTCATTAACTTCTTCGTCTTAAAGTAGGCAGACACATGCTTCACTCCGTTTAGTAGATATTTGGCACAAATATGCCTGTAAACTAAAGATATGGATACACCACGGACGAATACAAGGAGCTTACAACCGAATGGAATTATTGAGCCAGCTGTACGCTTCATCCCTTCCGCATATGTACAAAGAACAATTCAAGCTCTTAATTTTGATGCATAAAGCCTACACTCAATCGTTCTAATGACTAAGAGAATGAAGGTTACTGACCGCTGGAGATAAGTGGACCAAACTATCGGTAAACATTACTTATAGCACATATAACAGAGTAAAATGTAAAGGACGCTTGCCACCAAAGGGAAGTGGTTTCAGAGCTGCAATATAGAAAAATGTATATAGTGTGAGACAATATAACATTATTACTATTAGTTGGAATCCTTTTAAAAATAGTTTGTGTGTACCTCATTAAATTTTATATAAAATCCTTTCTGTTAATAGTAAATCTTTAAAAACTTAAGTAGGGTATGTCTGTAAATAAACTTATGTATTTCTTGCATTTGTGTTTCACTTTTATTTTTGCGGATTATCCAGGGCTTCAATTATACGAAGAAATATATATCCCAAGCAACCCGGATCATCTGGATACTGAATTGTTTATTTGGCGTTTTGGGGTTTGTGTCCAACGTATACACGATACTGCGTGTACGCCGAGACGAATGAAATCCGTGATTGAAGATCAAAGATCATGGAAACAGCATTAAATATTCCAGGTTTTTAAGCCAGACCGTTAAAAGCTAATGCAGTAATTCACATTTTTGGTAAGTCAGCTATATCGTTTACGAAACAAAAATAATTATAAATTGTGTAATTCTTGGGTATAAAATCCTTTGTCTATGGTCAGATTGGAAAGCCGAATATATAAATCAGAATGACAAAAAAAGTCTGCTTCGCTCGAACTTTTAGCCTCACCAATGCAGCAAAAATAATACTGTAATAATGTGAATAATGTCGGCATCTATTTCACGTTTCTCCTACTATAAATTCCACACAAAAGCACTGAAATACATATAATTCGCCAAGAGCACAATTTCGGTATGAAAGTTCATTTGTGTTAAAAAAATCATAAATATTAAAGTATATGTTTTAAAATCGGGACTCAAAGTTGTAAATGTGATCATATTAATGCCAATCACCTGCCATATCGAATGGTCTAAGACGGAACACAGAAAATAAACGAAAGTGGAACATTGACCCCCTATTCGCCATTGGATAACACCGAAAAGTTATTAAAATTAACAGATATTTTTCTTTAAATCATGCAGACATAATCCTGATCCTGTTCAATAGACATAGCGCATAAATTAGCGTAATAAATTGAAGGTATACAAAACCCACGTACCGACAAATACGACATTTTGCAGGGATGTTTGCTAACAAAGGGAAGAGGATTCAATTCAAGAAATTATTTGTCCTAAATAATTCCAAGAATACATTTCTGAAACGAAATTGTCTTCGTGCAAACTGATTATTCCACAGTATCTCACTTCGTCAGAAAAAACAAGACGACGAGGTGCCATAAATTTCATACGTCGGCATGTTGCAGTTTCACACAAATAAAGCTCAGGTGTTCAGTGCTACAACTGAACTCGGAAAATAAGGTGACATTGAAGCGACTGTTATTTTTATTACGTGTGCTTCGGGTATAAATACGAACCCGAGGACCTATCCAAACCACTTCTCGGCGAGCAACCACCGCAACCGATAATGAGGGTCTTCGTCTATCTTCTGTCAGCGCTTGCGCTCTGCCAAGGTAACGTACTGAACAGCGTTATTAGCGACCATGACCACCCCGAACGTATCAGAAAATTAAGAAGACTTTAAAAGAGTCTCACGTTCAGTGAGACGCCATTCAACTTGCAGGACTAGAAGTCTCCTTTAATAACGATAATCATCATTGTGTTACAGCTTACGACTACAAGGAAGTGCTCCGCGATTCGATACTCTTCTACGAAGCTCAGAGATCGGGAAAACTGCCCTCTGATCAGAGGGTCACGTGGAGGAAGGACTCAGCTCTGAACGACAAGGGCCAGAAAGGCGAGGACCTCACAGGCGGTTACTATGACGGTACGTGTCCTCAAATGACGTAGCCTATAAAGTACGAATGTCGAATGTCCACGAAAAGTTACGTGAGACTTGTAAGTACACACCGTGGAACAATCGTAAAGCGCACGATAATCCCAAACACAAAAACGCAACAGCTCCCGTCATACATACGATGGGTTTGAATTGTACCGAAATGGGTCCACATAATTTGATAACTTCTTTGTTTCCACAGCTGGTGACTATGTCAAGTTCGGTTTCCCTATGGCGTACACAATTACCACCATAGCTTGGGGGATTGTGGATCAAGAAGCAGGGTACAACTCAGCAAGTAGGTACCTAAATCTTATGGCGAGAGAACTTTAATTGTACTCGCTAGCCGAAGGCTTTTGTCATCATCCTCATACGAAAATCAATGTTTCCGAACACACGTTATCCGATCGTTGATTGTCACAGGCGCTCTGGCTGATGCTCGCAAATTGATTAAATGGGGCACGGACTACTTCATCAAGGCGCACGTGAGCCAGAACGAATTGTACGGACAAGTAGGACAAGGAGATGTGGACCACGCATACTGGGGGCGTCCCGAGGACATGACGATGAGCAGACCCGCGTACAAGATCGATACGTCCCATCCAGGTAGGATTCACTTAAATGGCCCTCTGCTTTCTCAATTACAAAACGTATCCTCAGGATACATTCTTCATATTCGAGTCGTAAAATTGGAAGATACACTTCAGATCCTGCGGCGGTGGATACTTCAATTTTAAATGACTGTATAATTAGAATTATAACAGTCCTAAGAACTAATCCAGCACGTACAACGCTCAGCAGCTTAGAGTTCGCCCCGAATGCTTCTAGGATCGGATCTGGCAGGAGAGACAGCGGCCGCCCTCGCAGCAGCTTCCATCGTGTTCCAGAGCGCCGACTCCGGCTACGCCAGCACCCTTCTCACACACGCCAAGCAGCTGTTCGACTTCGCCAACAATTATCGCGGCAAATACAGTGACTCCATCACCGATGCTCAGAGCTTCTATGCGTACGTCTTACTGATTTATGTTATTTGGAAGTATCACAGAATTCTCGTTACCTGACAAACTTTCTTCATTATGGGAGAGTCTGTCAAGAATTGCTTTGATAAATACCCTCTCATTTACTTATTATGCATGAATCAAACGATCTGCACTACCTCCATATTGATATTTCGATAAAAAGAAATGCTTATCAGCACACATAACTTCTGAAAACTCCACCGGGGTATCGAAAATTACATATTTTAACGACGCCCACAACATTCGTAATTTATGTTCTATGAATTTTAAATGTTCGCACAATAAGCATTAGATAGAATTCAGAGCGGCCTAAGTTCATAATATCTACAACTTTTGTATTGAATTCAGCACTCCGTTGCTGATGGCAAATTAATGAATCGCTTATAAGTGATCCAACAGTCATTACAAGACAGGAATGTAAATGCCTCGTCTTGAAATGTGCAACAGATCCGGCGACTACAAGGACGAGCTGGTGTGGGCTGCAGTGTGGCTGTACAGGGCAACCAACGACAACACCTATCTGACCAAAGCAGAACAGTTATACAACGATTTCGGCCTTGGGAACTGGAACGGTGGTTTCACTTGGGATCAGAAGATCTCTGGATTACAGGTCAGAAAACTGCAGGGAATTAGGCACAGACGAACATTAATGCGGTGTTTAACTCTTTTACGAAGACGCAATAATTTGCATCTGATAGAATCAGCAATTTAAGTCACGTTTTCCAGGCAAGGAAATACTCGGTCTCATATCGATTCTCATCTTGAATAAATGAAACAGACAGAAAGGGGTGTGAGGGCTAATCACGAGATGCGATATTGCTTTCGTGAAGGCTCTCCTCAACATAAATGTGACGGTATCTTCCACAGGTGTTGCTGGCTAAGATCAAAGGCACACAATCTTACAAGGACAAGGTGCAAGGCTACTGCGACTACATCACGACTTCCCAGCAGAAGACACCAAAGGGTCTCGTATACATCGACCAATGGGGCTCCCTTCGAATGGCTGCCAATGCTGCATTCATTTGTGCTCAGGTAATCAATAATTGTGTGGATGGAATATTCGCAAGATGTTATCAGGTCTATACAGACGCCAGAAGTAGGGAATTATAAATGGCTACTACTCCTAACACATCCTCAGCTTTTACACTTATTAATGAGCTTCTGTGCTCTGTATTTGTTGCGTGCGAACGTTTCTGCTTTAATACGTTATTGTCACTATCTTTAATGATGACGATGATTACAAAGAAAACACTATGTTCTGCAGAAACGTTAAGACATCGACAAATATAAAACACTGCACCGAGCAACAACCCATAATACATACACCATATACAACATTTAGGAAAGTAAACCCTGAAGAAATTCTTG